AGGGCATCCCTCTCCCCTTTAGCTTCTTGTAAATACTAAACCATATAAAAACACACCCTAGGAGAGGGGGTTCACTGGTTTCTCATGGAGAAGGACCTTTGCAGAGGGGCGTGGGCTGGAGATGAGGGAGGAGGTATCTCTTCCGCAGCCTGCAGAGGGTGTGCGGGCTGCAGAAAGAGCATGGGAGCATCCCAGCATGTACCACCATGTCCATATCGCGTGGAAATGGTAGCCCTGAAGCACACTTAGAAGGGATGAATGTTCATTTAATCTATTCCTTGGAATCAATGTTTTTAAAGGTGCACACCACTGGCCCCTCACACAGTGATGTCTTTAGCAGACGGAGATCTGACACTAGCCTCCTCCCAGTTTCATTATGGGGAACTTGGTAACTTGGCACTGGGCATGCAAAGGTGACCAAAAAAAACCCAAAAAACCCCACAACAACAGAAAACCAACAAAACTGACCCCATGATAGAATCTTCAGGAAAATCCCCCAGTTCCTCATTGCCCAAATGCTTATGGTCCACCTGTCCAAAAAGTTTGCACATCATTTTGTGAGTTCAAATGCTGCTGTTAAAGCTGTGGGCCAATGAGAATAGTCTCCTTGTCAAGAACAGAGAGCAAGAAAAAAAATGTTCCTGGAGGAAAACAGCTAGTGGACCCCCAAACACAGCAGGACTACACAGAAAATATTTTAAAATGGGTGAAAAAAAAAAAGCAAAGAAATCCCTTATCTGCATTGTGCGTACATAGTGACACACTGGTTACAGTTACAATTGTCACAGTGTGATTCTCCCAGACTCAGTCAGAAGAAGCTGCTACTTTCCATGGAAATGTGCATTTTAACTCTGCCTCTGAGGAACATCACTTATTGTAGGGTTTTTACACCTCTAGAAATTTCATTCAGAAGTACAAATGAAAAGTGTCACATCTAAAACTGCATGGAGCCACATATTGCACCATTCTCTAGTCAGCCAAGCCAAAAATAACCTGCCTAGAATGTGTACTTCCTTCGTACACCTGGGTAGAGCTGCATCTTACAGAGTGAAAAGATGCATGTGTGTGTGCCTCTGCACACATTTGTGGATATCTTGATCTTGCAGGGGCGTTTATGTGTGTGTGTGTTTGTGTGTGTGCACTCACATTATGTTGATGTACGCAACAAAGTGTGAAAAATGTACTTCTTAAAAAACTTAGAAGGAGATGTCATTTATCATTGTGCTATCATAATACCACAAATTTCACTTTTCTCTTCCACTTTGGATTGCATGTGTTTGTGAGTATTTCACTAGATCAGTGACAGCTCTTTATTTGCATAATTATATGCTCTAGTCTGAAGAGAAAACTAACCCCCAAATTTCATGGGTCACCAAACTGCAACAATCAATGTTTTATCACATATGCTAAGCAAAACCTAAGGAGCTATATGAAGTTTCTTGTGGAGTTTTTACTCATCAGAAAATTAAAGATGTTGTGCCTCCTGAATAGATGCAAAATCTTTCCAAGCTCTTTGTAGCTGAATTCCGTTTGAAGGCAAAACTAGAGATTAGCTCTTAGATCTGGATTTCAGATCCAGTAACATTCTTCAAAGTGGATTCAGACAAGCAGCTTTACTACATCTCTAAATTTTGCCATCCTAAGTAATGTCATTTAAATGATGACAATCAAAAAAATTAAATAAAATTAAAAATAATTCATCAAATGTGAAAAATGCGAACAATCTCCCCCTCTCTTACCAAGCCCACAGTTAACAGTGGGTTTAACTTCATTCATTCAGTAGTTTTATTCTTCCTGTTGGGCACTGCCCCCATATATTGGATATAATATGAAGAAAACTTCCCTGAGCTGCAGAATTTATGCTGGTCCATCAGTTGCACAATAACCACATGCTCCAGTTATTACACATATACTCCAAGTTTCCTTCTGGATCAAAATGCCTTGTTATGAGGAGGTAGAAAGCTGGGGATAGGAACTGACTGACAGTGAAGATCCCCCTCCTCCTCCTTCATCCACATCCTCCATAACTGCTGGAAAAATGTAGTTCTTGCTTTAAATCAAAATAAAATAAAATAAAATAATTTACACAGAGTACAGGGGAACTTCTCAGAGGTATAGACGGGCTGAAAATCCTGGGGAACATGCTTAATTTTGCTGGGGAAAAAAAAACCAAACAACAACAAACTAAAAAACAAACCAAACCAAACCACAAAAAACTCCAAAAGTGTCTCTAGTCTTCTCCAAGATGTGACTTAGCTGGGAAAAGTGCCCACAGTTTGCTGCCTTGTGGTTGTGTCCCTCTAAGCTCTTGGGAAGAATAAACTTTTTAAAAGGAATCTATGTCAAGTAGCATAGCCCTCAATGACCTCCTGACCCCGTGGCGGGAGAGCAGCACCTGGGAAGGAGAGCACAGCCCCACAGCACTGCATGGGTTAGGAATCTAGAGAGGTGAAGCATTCCTGCTATCCTTGGCTTCTTTCTTCCCCCCCCCCCCCCGCCATTGACATCAACTCGAGAAGCCTTTCAGGAGGAAATGGGTTTCCAGCACAGACTGGCACCTGAGAAGATTGCGGGAGTTGCGTGGGGACGTTTTGACTCCTGAGTGATTTCCAAACACCCGCTGCAGGCAGACGCCAGCCTCGCAACGCCTCCTCACCTTGCAGGAACAAAGTGAAACACGAGTGGGAAACAAAAATAGTGCTGGGAGACACGAGTCTCTTCACCACACTTGTCTGACTGCTGGTGCAGGGTTCTGGGGGGGTGCAGGGTTCCGGGGCATGCAAGGACAGGGGCCGACCAACCCCAATCACCCCCTCCATGGAGACCCAGAAAGAGAGGAGAACCTGGTCTCAAGCATTTCCTACTCTTCCACACTGCCTGTATCCCTCCATCAGGTCAAGTAAATATGAATATTCCCAAGGGATGGTTCTGCAGGCTAGTTTGTCCCAGCGGAGACAATATCATCAGTTATTTCCCTCTAAATGTAGTAAAGGAGAGAGCTGACCCCTCTAATGAGAGACCCGGGTCATCTTCTTTTGTCACTTCCATTTCTCTTTACTCATACCCAATCTAATCCCCTAATGCCTGGTAAAGGGCTGCGTCCAGACTTCGGCCTTCTTTAAAGCTGCTATCTCTGCCACAATTAGATAAATAACCTTCACACACCTCTCTGCTCCTCCAGAATTGCTTTATGCCTTCCCTTTCCAAGCTCAACTCACACAATGATATTGTTTTCTATTGTAAAGCCCTTGATGGGGAGGGTCCTCTATGTCTCCCCACAACATACAGGTACAAAAATAATACTTTCCGCAATATTTTGCCTGGTCCTGCTTGTCTGCAATTTGTGGAGAAAGCCCCTAACATCACATGGAGCTTGCAAATACTGATCTGTTCTCAGCAAGCCAGGCATTTCCAGTTTTGCTGGTCACTTGGCCAACTTTCCCTGGTCCTCTGATCCCTTACCACATACTCAACTTCCACCCTTTCGCCCACCAATTTTCTTCTTTATTTCACTCAAGATACAGCCTTTGATTCGTCTTCTAGTGAGGGACCAGCTGAGGGCAATCTTACCCTCACCCACCTCTTGATGTGCACTACAGATATTGGAGTGTGTGTTTGTTTTTTGTTTGGTTGGTTTTGTTTGTTTGGGGTTGTTTGTTTTGGAGAGGGTTTGGTTTCGTTTAGGGTTTTTTTGTTGTTTTTATGGTGATGGTTATTTGGATTATAAATGGTTTCCTTTTCACTTTCTGCCAGTTTAGCGTGTATTCTCTCGGGGTGGGGGGGCGGGGACGGTAAAAGGGGTGCAAAACTGCAAGCTATGGGCACTGCGGGTGGTGGTGTGCATTGCCTTTCGCAGCGTTTCCAGTGGGCTCATAACGGCACTAAGACGGTGGTGCGGATCAAAGCCAGGACCGTTCCCGACAAGCGGCGGCGCGGTCGGGGCGGAGACCACCGGGCAAGACGCCGTTCTTCCCAGGGAACCTCGGAGTTCTCTTCCCCCGCTCTGTGGGTGGAGGCGGAGTCCGGCGGCACTCGCAGCGGGCCCAGCACCACGGACAGCGCCGGCTCCGAGGCTCGTGGTGTTCCCGCGGGCCCCGAGTGCTCCCAGGGGAACTCTCACCCCCAGGCACTGCCCAGCCCCGACGAACATCTTCCAGGAGAGCCTAGACCTCTCCGTTCCGCCAGGGAGATCCGCCGGGGCGTCCCTCGGGGAGGGCTCATGGAGGGAGAGAGCACGGCGTTGCTCGGACACTTCGCTGTAGCGACACACCTGGAGTCGCCGGGCTGGCGGGGAGAAACTCTCCGCCCTCCTGCAGGTCCCGGAGGAAGGGGAGGGCAAAAACAAGGAAAAGTTAAATTTCTCGGTGCACTCCTCCTGGCTGGCGAGAAGGAGGTGTGCGTGCTGAGGGTGCCCCGGTACTGTGTGAGCATCCGGCGGCCCAGACGGGGCCCGTACCCCGTGCACAAGACTACCTCCCCTCTTCCTTGTTCCACGGAGACACGGAACGTCGCTCCCCCGGCCTCGGCGCAGCGCCCTGGGGTGCGGGTATTGTCTCTGGAAGGAGTTCGTCACGGGACCTCCGCGGCTCGGGATACGCCTCCCGGGCCACATCCCGACTCAGAGCCGCCTCCCTCCCGGGACACGTCCCGTTTGCTCCATTCCCGCGCCCCACAGTCCCGACTCAGAGCCGCCTCCCTCCCGGGACACGTCCCGTTTGCTCCATTCCCGCGCCCCACAGTCCCGCCGCCGCGACTGGTCACCGCCCCTTTATCGTTTCGGGACTCCCCGGGGATGTCACCGTCTTGACTCAAATCTCCATCATCTTTTTTTTCTTTTTCTCTTTCTCTCTTTCTTTATTTCTTGCTTTCTCGCTTTCTCTCTTTCTTTCTCTTTCTTTCTTTACTTGTTTGCTTGCTTTCTCCCTCTTTCTTTCTCTCTTTCTCTCTCCCTCCCTTCCTTTCTTCCTTCCTTTCTCTCTCTTTCTTGCTATTATTATTAATGTTATTGTTGTTGTTACTTCTTTTTTAAGAGTAGATAGAAAAAGAGCTGACTTCCACTCTATGCCTTGAAAAAATGAGCCCCCAGATCTTTAGTAAGCCCAAGGCTCTACCAGCTCTTTGCAGGAAAAAGTAGCGCTGGAGTTTCGTTAAGATCCGTCCGAACTTTTTCAGATTTTGACCCAAAGAACTCATATTTAATTGTGGGTTTCGGTCGTTTGGAGGATTTGATTGTTGGTGGGGGGGATTTTTTTTTAAGATCTCTAATATTCTGTCCCCTTCCCAACACAGTGTCTGCCCGTGGCTCTTATCCCAAGACGATGGAGCCGACGGCACCGCCTGCCTCCCTGTATTCCTCTGCCCTGCCCATACACCCTGTGTGACCGTGGCCCCGCTCCCACGTGGAACATCGCGCGTTTAGCCGAGATCTGCGGAAAGGAAAGCTTAGTTCAAATGCGTTTTTACCCTCCTAGTCTTCCCTTTGCCTGGGGAACACAGAATGTTTCCCGTACGAATACAGCAAATGTATTTTATTTTACTTTTTGGAGACTTTATTCCACCGTCTCTTTGAAAAAATAAACAAATCTTCTCCTGCCCGAGGAGGAGCCAGGAGACCTCCTCACCCTTTCTTGCTGTAACCCTTCTAAGTCGTTTGAAATGAATTTTCCTGTCTTTCGGCCATCTGTCAATGTCACATCCACGCTGCCTGCGCGGGGTGTGGATAAGCAGAGGGCAGGTGGGAAGAGTCCTTGCGCGTTTCTGGTCCCGCGTGAAGGGGTCTTCCTCCCCACGCCGCTGCCCCACTGACCCACCCTCCGTTCTATTCCCCTTGGCCCCACCACCAGTACGGCTCCGGGGGGCCAGCTGTGACTTCGGGAGGATTTTGTACTGCCGCCGGCTCGTGACGTGAGGCGTCTTTTGGGTGAGCGGTCATGCTTCTTCCGCTCGGGAGGAGCACCGGGGCCGTCTGTTCGGGTGGGGCGAGAAGAGAGGGCAAGCTGCAGGGGGGACCTAAGGACGTAGCCTTCCTCCTGAAACCTCACTCGTCACTGTAGTCTTCGTCGTCAGCGAAGGGAGGACTAACTGACGATGCCGCGAAAATTTTTGCGCTGCCGAGGGAAGAGAAAGATGGGAGAGAAAAACAAGTCCAAACTCCTATGCTGGTGACAATGCTTCGGCAAACGGAGTGCTCGTCTGTCTGTCGTGAAACCCCCGAGGAGGAGAGGGAGTGTGCCTTGGCCTCTGAGCGTCCCTCTGCCCCGGCGGGGAGGCTGGGACGCGGGGCGAGTGGGTAAGCTCCGTGTCCTCTCCTATTTCTTTCCTGAAACGAATACGTGGCCGAGCTTCGCTGGAGAGAAATTCAAAGCTCAGGGCAGGCAGAGCTTCGGCAGAAGGTCAATTGTCACGGCTCCCTTCCCAGCTGGATGAAGTTCGGTTGATTTTTTTTTTTTAATTTCCCTGAAATGTAAAGGGGTTTTGTAAGCTTTAAGTAACTGGCGCTAGAACAAAAGCCAAACTCTTTATCATATAAGTTTTCATTATCAGCTTTCAACCTTGCAAAACTAGAGCTATTTGCTTAACTTAATCCGTAACATATGTTTGCAACAGTAGCAGATTTTTTTGTTGTTGTTGGTTTTGGGGGTTTGGGTGTTTTGTTATTTTTTCCTGGTGTGTGTGGTTTGGAGCTGATCAAGTTGTAAATTTTCCGCCTAGGTTTTCAGCACCTCCTAATTACAGCCTAACACCTATTGAGAGAGAGAGAGAGACTCCACAAAGATCCCACGGAGCCAAATCCGAGTAATCCTATCCAAAATCCCTAATAAAGTTTATCAATTAGACCACTCAAACTCCTTCGGATTCATCCCACTGAGAAAGAAGCTGCCACGTCTCTAAGAAAATTAGCTTGAACGAGCAATTCAGTATTATTCCTATCGCGTTTTGCTTGCAAAGCAGCGTCTGGTGGTTCAGTTTTTACTATTACTTTTCCCCCCGTCTCATAGGCCAGTTTTCCTCAAGGTATCGCAGGAATGATGCAAACGATAGAAGATTCCCAGTTCTACTAAAAACAATAATAACGGCATCAACAGCACTTGCGATGATCCCACAGCAGACTGGTGATTTAAAGCCTGATTAACTCTTTGTTGGTTTCACCTCCTACAGTAACTTTTAAAACATCTGTCCTGCGGAAAGAGAATTTCTTCTGCGCAAAAGTGACGTTTAGTCTTTAAATACGGGGGTTATAATGGAGCCCTAAAAAGGCGAGAAGTGATTTTGGGAAATATTGTATACATGCGCACTATTTAGCGTTATCAATCTTTACCTCGGCTATTGACACTTGCCTTGGAAATAATAATAATAATAAAAATTACACAGAATTGAAAAGATCCTTGAAAAGATCGTCTCACAGCCTTGAAAAGATCCAAGGCCTGTTACTGATTTTTTGGCATCTGCACTTTAGATGCGTCATTGCGTTGTTCAATGGCAGAGAGATATTGGGGTAACTCCAGTGGACGTGTTGATATTCCTGCCGAACGAGCCCCCGAGAACTTTTTCCAAGGCGCATCACCCCCGGCCCCCGGACCTGCGCCCTTATCCGTGTGCCACTGTGGCCTGAGGCAGCTCACCACGCGTGGACGTGCGAGGTCTACCCCCGGGCCTTCCCCAGTGCGGCAAACACCCCACTGAGGACGCAGCGCCCCCGCCCAGTCCCGCCCCATCCTGCCGCGTCCCCTCGGGCCCTCCGCGGGTGTGGAATCGTCCGCGGCGGTGCGGGAGGGGGGTGGCGCGGCGGGTCCAGCGAGGCGGAGCGCCACCTAGTCCCGGCCGCGGGAAGCGGCGCGCGCGGAGCAGCCGCGGAGAGAGAGCAGGAGACGCTGCCCAGAGGGGTCGAGGGAGGCGCAGGTGAAAGCCTCCTCAGCTGCGGAAGGGACTGCTCCACACCTCTTTTTATTTTTTTAATTATTTTTAATTAATTACACGTGAACACGCTCCACGACGTGCGGATTTGTGCGCGGGGGCGTGGAGGGGCCGAGAGGCGTAACACCTGGCTGCTCACCTCCAGGACTTGTTATCCCCGCTCTTGCCTGCCGGGCAAATCACGAAAGCGCGAAAAAAAAAAAAAAAAGTAGGGGGGGGGGAATTAAAAACCAAACCCACAAAAACCCTCCTCCTTGATGCTATCACGAGGAGCAACGGTGCAACCGGTGTGCGAGGTGAGCTGAAGCCATTTGTTAAGGGGAACCGAATAGGTTATTTTAAATGTTACTTGATAGCAGCAACAGTGCTTTGGGTGAAACTTAGAAACTGCCAATGCTCTTATCTGCAAGCGGACAAACAGGCGAACAAACTTTACCGGGTATTTGGATCTTCCTCTCAAATACAGCAAAACAAAGGCAGGGTGTATTAAATAACTGCTCCAGCTCCAGTCCCGTCAAGTGTCACTTTTAATTCTCAGACATAGGAATCCCAGGGACACCAAAAAAAAAAAAAAAAGGTTCTTCTGCGTCGTGTTCACATCATTTCTGCAAAACAATCCAGGGCGCGGGCTGCACGTAGACACCGAAGTGTCCTGCAAGCAGGTTAGAGGGTTCCACTGCCGAGAAATCGCCACAAACCCTTCCCTCGATGTCTCCCGAGTGTTTGGAAGAAAATTACTAATACAATTGCACGCCTCTGTGTAAAAATGTCTTTATGGTTAAGTTCTTCAAAATGTTTATTCGATTATTTTAAAATCTTCAGTCACGTACAAGTATTTCCTAACAGACAACCATGCTGGTGTATCTTCTGTGACTTTGCTTCTATAGTTTGGGAGGTTTAAAAACTTACTGATTCATGATGGGTCTATACCAGCTTGCTAGAATTTTACTGAAGCTTGCTTTTTCTTTCTTTCTCTCTTTCTCTCTCTCTCTCTTTCTCTCTCTCTTTCTCTCTCTCTTTCTCTCTCTCTTTCTCTCTCTCTTTCTCTCTCTCTTTCTCTCTCTCTTTCTCTCTCTCTTTCTCTCTTTCTTTCTTTCTCTCTTTCTTTCTTTCTTTCCTTTTTTTCTCTCTTTCTCTCTTTCCTTTTCTTCTTTTCTTTTCTCCTGTTCTCCCGTTTTTTCTCTCCTTCTCTTTCTCTCCTTCTCTCCCTCTCTCTTTACTTTTTCTTTCTGTCACTGTCTCTCTCTTTTTCCTTCTTTCCTTCTGAATCTCCTTTGTGTCTTTTCCTCTCGCCCCTTCACTCCTTTTATCATCTCTCCTTCCTCCCTTCTTTCTCGCTTATTCCTCTCTTTTTCTCCCTCTACTTCGCTCAGCATTTCTGAAAACAGAAGGCAGATGTGATCAGACGAGTGATTCCCGGGGTCCCATGGCGAGCAGTTGCACCCAACTTCACACTGTGAGCGTTCTTAAAATGGGAAACTATGACTAAAACAACAGAGATTCCTACCCCTCCCGACCGCGGCCGCCTGCATGCCATGTATCTGCCTCGTGGTGCGGAAATGATGAAATTAGCACTTGGATAATAACAGTCTGGGGCTGTTTCGACAGGTCGCGATATTGAGCCCCGGTGCAAATCAGCCAGGGGCTCCGCAGGTAACCCCTCATCCTCGAGCCGAGGTGAAGGGGAGAGAGGGTTGTGTGCAGCGCCGAGTGCCCCCCCGGGCTGACCCCCTCCCTCTGGTGTCCCCCACGGCACTCTGCCCGGCTGGCAGAGGTGGGCGGCAGCCGGCGGGGAGAGAGGAGGAATATTTCATCCTGGGCAGGGCTCGGCGTCCGGGGTGTCCGGCTGCACCTCGCCGCTGAGCTTTGCCTAAACCTGAAACTTCCTCTGAGATAGGGAGCCCAGCTGTTTAATTTAACATTGATTTATTGCTTTTAAAAGTAAATTTACACACATGCCAGCAGCACTCAGTTTTGTTTCCCCAGACCCAAGGATTTATTTTCTACTTAGAGCTTGTCTGACAAAACAATGTCCTTTAACTTTATTACACATCGGTGAGGAAATCTGTCTTGGCTTTGGTTGGATTTATCGTTCTGCTACTTGTGGAGACTTTTTGTGATACAGCAAAAGCTAAAGTCAGAAAACACACACAAAATGAAAGTCAGGTACAGAAGCAAACACCAATAAAGGAAGCAGCAGCTAGTAGATGCTATTCTCACCCCTGCTACAATCCATGTGCAGCGAGGATTACAATTAGAAAAGGGAGAAATTATTTTAACTTGGAGCATGTAGGTAATTTGTTTGGGGTTTTTGATTTTGGTTTTTTTTTTTTTTTTTTTTTTTTTTTTTTTTTTTTTTTTTTTTTTT